AAATGCCTTCGAATGCTAGATAGTGTTTGTGAAAACTAATTTCTCTTTTAGATAACTATTATTGAATTTATTATAAATTTAAAAGAAGAATGAAAATTAAATTTTTTAGTTTATCCAGTTACAGTCAAGAATATCAGAAATGAATTTTAAATTACGTGAATATTTTAAGTAATTTGCAGATTTGAACAGTAAAATAAATATAAGCTTGTTATTAAATATTTATTATACACAGTTTAAGAAAAAAATTGCACAGGATATTCATATTCAATACGAAAGAGTACTAATAAGATTTATATATGCAAAGCTTTACAAAACTAAAACACTCGTATTAGCCAAAACAAAACGATCGAATACCTTCAATATTCTAAATACGGTAACAACGATACTTATATACATTAAAAACAAAAATACATATTTACACATATGTACATTGTATCATTGTACGTTCACAAATAATTCATTCCAAACAAGAAAAAGTAAAAACAAATTTTTTTTCTTAGAACAATGGAAATACGAGAATATTGTAATATATACAAATTTATTTAATTTTGTAAGAAAAACGAAAACTTTCACTCTATATGCAGGTTGTCTCGTCTTATATGGCTCTATCAAACTGACTTACATGGCTGTATCAATAAAAGCCATCATAGTATCATATTCTCCGAGCCATTAATTTTTGCAAATGTGTTGGAAACTCAATTTTTATGTTGAACTTTTGCATTATTTTTTGTTATATATCAAATTGAAGCTCAGTTGACGCGGTTACCAGCTGTGCTACAATTAGAGAAAGCTTCAATATTACGTCACCTCGACGTTTTTTAAAAATAAATAGTTAAATTTTTAAATTAATCCGAAATCTTGACTGATTATAAATTATTCATTATCTTTATTCATTAAGTTAGCATATCACATTTAATAACGCGCTAATCTTACACAAGCACGGAGTTAAAACCTTAATTTCTAAATGTAAAACATTAGTCGAGATTGTCTTTAAGCCCCTGTAACTTCGAAAATTTTTAGCTGTGAACATGGTCTCTATACAAAAGTTTTGTCTACTCATGAGGGCCTTACAATACAATAGTATGCACTTTGATACCAGTACCCCCTGTATGTACCAAAAATTTCTTTAAGAAACATGCGAATATAAAAAACTGTTTAATAAAGAAAGAGAAATAAAAAATAGTAGAATTAAAATAAAATGAAACAATTTATCTTTTTTACTCTTTTTTTTTTATTTTATTCTCCATTTTTAGTATATGGAATATATTCTTATATACATATACAAAAATTCTTATTCTCAACATAAATTGTTTCCTTATTTGATTTTCTTTCTTATTTTTATTTTCCTACTTTATTTCATTTAATTTTTCTTTAACTTTTCATATCACATTATCACAAAACAATTAAAAAAGAGAAAACAGAATTTTCTTTTTCATTTTCTCATTTCTCTTGTGTTTTTCTTTTAAATTAAAACGACATCAAGGGAATTGTTTTTTCCTTTTTTAAAGCCCAAATTGCAAAACTAAATGAAAATAATAATAAACAAAATTTTATATGCCTATATGGTATATATATAAATACATACATAAAAAATACACACGTGCATAATTTTTAAATTTACTTTGATTATTGTACTCATAGATCTAAATTATGAAAATATATATTTAGTTCAGAATACATAATATATTTTATGAATTTATTTAAAATATTTTTTTAAATAAAATCCTTTCAAATTCCATTCTTCAATCAAATTCTACTTAATTAATTTAATAGACAAAAAATTTCCCTTTGTTAATATTGCATATTGTCGACATATAAAATACTAAGAGAATGTTATTTACAATAATTTAATGAGAAGCATTAAAAATTAAACATTATGTATATACTTTATCTTTTGAACAGAGAAATATATTGTAATAATTTATTACAGATTTCAATTACAGTATATGAAATAGTACCGGATAGTAGAGTACTCGAATATCATAATAATAAAAGAGTAAAGAGTAACAAAAAAAAAAAAACAGGCAAAGGATTATATTGGAGAAAATTTTCAATGCGCTCTTGAAAATTTCTAAAAAAAAAAATAATTTGAGTAACTCTTTCGTGTTAATTATATAATATGTGAAAAACTTAAATATTAAAATTTTAGCATTATTGTTGAACATATTTGATGGCCAGTTTGTGAATTTGTTAATTGAAATATAAAATTAACAGTTCAACATTTATTGAATATTTAAATTCAAGAAAGCATTTAATTCAAAATTATTAACCAAAATTAAAAATATATAGTGAATAAGAAAACATTTTAATAATTCTTAATATTTAAAAATAATTATGATATACAACACAATTAACAATAAAGTAATCAAAAAAAAAAAAACTGAATAAAATGAAAACCATTATTTTTAAATACCAAATAATTTACATTTTAAATTGGTTTTAACTACATGATTGGACACAAAAAAAAATTCTCAGAAAGAAAAAACCATATGCTTTAAGTCATATAAAATACAAAAAAAAATATTGAATGCATAATATTAATAAAACATTTATGAATGGTGCAAAATAATTTTTTTTTATTTTGCAAATTATTAATAAAAATTTTTGTAAAATAGCCGTGAACTACATTTGATCCAAATGAATAACAATACCATATTATTATTAAAGTTCTCTGAATATTTTTTGAAATATGGATATTAAATTTTTTTTTTTTGAAAATTATACATTTTCGGGGTAACTCATATCATATATATGATATATATCAGAATGTGTTAGCACATATTTACATAATCCAATTATTAAAACACAAATCATAACTAAATGCATTTAATTTTTAACCTCTTGGTTATTTTTTATTCCTGTAAATCGTTTTCATTGTTAATTTATATTTTAACAATTGTTAATAAAATTAAAACTTATTAATTTATTGAATAACAATAGAATATAATATCAAATTTTAACAATTTTAATTTAAAATAATTTTTATAAATATTAAGTGTTAAATATTTCATATACAATATTATAATTACTTCAATAATCAGGTCTTTAAAAACAAAACTCTAAAAACTATTAAAATATAAAAAAAAAAACAATGAAAATTTTAATTATTGTCAAGTTTACGTGCTTTATATAACTTAAAAACTTTGCAAATTTGTAGCAAATTTATATTTGTAATGAATTTAATTCTTTCTTTTGGTTTAATATTGCCATTTTTACAGTATAACAGAATTGATATTATATGAAATGTATATGAAAAGAAAATAGTGTTACACTTTATAACAGATAAACCAGACAATTAATCATAATGGTAAAAAATTTATAATTAAATAATTAAATAATTAAAATCACATATTCCACTTTTTTTTTCAAATTTTTTATATATTTTTAATTCTATACCGCTTTATTCATACAATGTTAAATTCATATATTTAAATACGATAATAGATAATTTTTTTTTTTGCTTTATACTTAATAATATAGCAATTATTTTTTTGTACTCACTTTTCAAGACCAAAAATTATTTTATATGTAGATATATTATTAATATTTAATTTACTTTGATAACAATAATTTAAATTATATAATGAATAATAATAAGGTAGCTGGCTACTTCCTTATCTATGATAATAGATATTTGAGAAAAATAATGATAATGGAATTGATTTTATTATGATTTGTTTTTGAACGTCTTATATATAATGTATAACAGTTGCAAAATGCAATTCTTTCATTAATATTGAAGTATAGACAAATTGAATTACCTGTTGTTACTTATGACCATATATAAAATGTGAACTAATCACAGTTACAGATTTTATAGTTTGAATGCGAAATTAATATTAGTGATACGAAAAATTTTCTGTACTATTTCTTACATACACAATAAATACTCGTATACATATAAATTTTTTAAAATAAAATAAAAAATGAAATGTATAATATTTTATTGTTAAAGTAGTAAAGTAGATAACCATATTATTAATTCGTTTGAGATTGGTAAATAATTTATTTTAATTTTTTTTAACTAAAATTTGATTAAAAACTCTAAGATTTATAAAAAAAATTTTGGGTCTATAAATTTAAAGTTTTCGTTAAAGATATAATTTAAGACAAAAACGTGGAAGAGAAGACATGCATTTACAACGAAAATTTTTATTTGGAATCAGTGCTATGATTTCTGCAGCGGTTTTACAGATATGGTTTTAAAAGTTATAAAAATTCAAAGAATACTCTAACTTCCGTACCCACTTTCACTTGATTCTAAAATAATCTACTCAATTATCCACTTAAAATTGCCAGCATTTAGCATATATGCAATGCATCATATGTGGTATTTTTCTAACAATTTCCTTTAATTTTATACATTACGCTATTTTCCTATTTGTAGTAGTCAATTTTTGTTAGAATAAAAGTGAAATTCAATACATTTACATACAATTCCAATATCACTAAATCTAAAATTGAAAATATCTTTAGCATATTTCGAAATATAATTTTTACTGTATTTCAAGAAGAACCAAGTAGGTTCTAATACTCTCAATAAAATCAAAAAAAAATTAAAAAAAATCTAAAAATATAAAAAAAAATTTATATGCTACTCAAATTACCATCAAAATTATCTCATTAACAGTAAATTAAAACAATATTTCTAATTCTTATACTACAGCAGCTAACAAACATAAAATTAGACTAGTAATACACCTACAATATGTAATTTGATAAAAAACATAATGTATGTAGGAATTTAATTTATATTATACCACCCATTATACTCAATAATCTTTTATTATTAGAAAAGTGTAGGAACATTTTTTGTCCTATATTATAAAATGAATTTTTTTTTTCTTAAAATATTTTATGTCTACAATATTTTTCATAATATTTTTCAATATAAACGCCAAAACTATATGATTATAATATAATTGTATTACTTTAATGAATTCAATAAATTTTATCCATAAATATAGTCTATAAAAATTTTAAATAAATAAATTACTCACCTGAATATGTTAATAGTGTATGATCACCACTATGATTTGTAAATCTCATCCAAAAACATATTGTATATTGATCCATTTTTGGTAATTTATTACGATATTGAACTGTACCTTCATGATCGAAAGCATATTTATCGACACTGCATGCATCCTATATATATATATATATACCACATTAAAATGCGTGTATATAAATTTATTATTTAATAAATTACTTCGTGATTCTATCATATTTTTTTTATGATATTTGTTTTAAGTTTAATCGAAAATTAATTTTAATTAATTCAGTATATTGAATCATCTTACGAATATTACAAATTAATGAAATAAAATAATTACTAAATTTGTAATAAAAATATTATGAGATGTGGCTGACTTTTATATTAGATATTTATATCCAAAAGCGGAACTAACATTTAAGATTCAAAAATGAATATATAACACAAAAATTGTCAGAATTAATAAAATTCTTAATGAAAATGCTATAAATAAATGCGGATTCCATTTAAAGAATTTCTAATTATAATAAAAATAAGAAACCTCGCACTTATTTAGCTTTTATGAATTTTTAAACAGTAACATATATGCGAAATAATATAGAATTAAATTAAAATAAATTATTAAAAATATTTAAAAAAAAATTTATTTTTATTGGCATCTCACGGACAATTTATTTGACTTTACTCGTATATTTGATTTTATTGCATATATAATTCAATTAAATCTTATATTTGATTGAATAAAGATAAATAAAATTAAAGATTGCATTAAGAAAATCTAAGTAAATATGCATTTATAATTCAATAATAATTTAGTTAAAAAACTCTTATATACTTATAGAAATATTCATGAAATAGATGTCAGTAACTGAGTGTTTAATGGGAAATTCTTTAATATTTTTCTAAAAATATTTACAAAAGTGGCTTTCATAGAGCCTATTACATTTATTTTATTAAAATTGGGTAAAGTAAATGTAAAGCCTCCAATTCATGTATTATTTCTAAAATACCTCAAATTTGTATAAATTTCGAAAATATTAAATTTCGGTGTATGACAATATATCAAGACCTATAGCCATATTATTATAATATAAAAATATTTTCAGTTCTGGATTTGAAATTGAATGCTATTGAAGCACAACTGAGCAAACCTTATACAACTACAATTTACTACACCGCCTAATATTCAATTTTATCACATTTTAAATAATCAAATATTAATTTTCTTTTTAATCGAACCTCTTCACCATAAACTGGTTCACCTAATCCAGTTAATATTCTTCCATCATTTTTAAAACCATGATAATCAATATCACTATCATGTCCAATTAATGTTGATCCATGATGTCCACCTGATCCAGCTATACCAGTTGTATCATCATCTAAAAAATTTTATTTGTATTTTTTGTTTTTTTCAATTGTATTGTAATTGCATTCACTACAATAATTTTTTAACTATATATGATATAATCTTCCAAATTATTTATGATTCATTGATATATATATATATATATATTTTAATCTATTAGATTTTGAGTATACCTGTACTAATAGAATTACTTGTATGTGATACAGAACCGATTGATGGATGTGATTGATGTATAACATATGTTGCTGGTGATGCAATCGGTTTCCATGATGATACCGATATTACATAATTAAATGTTAATATAAATATTAATTGAAATAAAATAAAAGATCGCAACATATTTATTTTTGTACTTTTTATTAATAATTAATTATTATAAATAATATTTTTTTTTATAATTTTATTTTTTCTTAGTAATAAATTTTATTTCTTGTTTCGATTATAAATTTCATTTAAATAGGAACACCAACTTTTATGTAAATTTTTCTTTTATGTTATAATAACAATAATTCAAATATAATAATTATATTATGTATTTTAATATTATTAAGGAAAAACAAAAATTATGCACCGCGTTAAAAAAAAATATTTTTCCTATTTTTCTTTTATTATATACTTTTTATTTACTTATTTTTTAAAAAAACGATTTGTATCTTCTCAGATGAAATCGAAAGTACGTTTAATCGCGATCGCGTCTCTAACTTAACTAATTTTTCCAATTTTATTATGAAAATCTTATAACTATCATCTGGTTGAGTTGATTCAAGAAATGAAAAATAAAAAAATGAAATAAACAAAAAAAAACATCAGTTAATTTTTGTTTTTTTCTTTTCTTTTTTCTTCCTTCAATTCAATTTAATTCGATTCAGACCAGACCAACACCAGTCGTTGATTATTATAAGACATCTATAAGTAAAAGAGAGTTAACATTAAAAAAGAAAAAAAAAATGTTAACTTTTTTTTTTGTTAACTGTGATAGGTATAAATTGTTTCATCGTTGTATACTATACCTTATACACCTTATAGCACAGTTATACAAAAAGTATACATGCATATTGTATACCTACATTCAAATTTTATCATTCATTTTATTGCTTTTTCATTTTTATTTAATGTTATATTCTCTGTAGGCTACTCATTTTTCATAATATACAAATACATAAGTATACAGACAATCATGTAATGTTAAAACTGTTAAATTATCAACAGTAAAAATATACGTATTATTAAGTTCAAAATGTTAAATAATCATGTTATAAGATTGTAACTCGCATCTAACAATAATATAAACAACTATTGAAGTTGTTTATAAGCAGACGCAACGTATTTAGAGCTTAGTAAGACAGTAATAAAAGTTACTTAATATTTACTGTCGTTACTAGTTTATTTTATACTTTCAGTGAAAAATTCACTAGTTTATTCAAACAGTTAAAAAGAGAAAAAGCTTTAAAATTGTTTACAAACAAATGAAAAAAAAAAAAATTTCTTCGTAAAAGCTTTTCAAATTTGTTTTTGATTTGTTGCTAAACATTTTTCAATTTAATTTCATTTTCATTTCAGCAACAAAAATGTTAAAGAACACAAAACTATAAAAATTATGTTGCTTACTTTTTAAAAATTTTGAATATTTTTTTTTATAATTTTAATTTTGTTGTTATACTTAAATAATTAGTGCATAATTAATTTTCAAAAAAAAAAAAAAATTGCCACAAAAGTTTAACCTTTCTTCATAATATTTGAAGCGGAAATTTTTATAGCATATAGGCGATATATGAGCGAATAATATGTGTATGATTTACATAAAGGAACATACATACATATAAATATTATGCTCATTCCAATATAATATGTAGATAATGTGCACATATGCACATGTACAATGAGTGAATAGGTACTTAATCATGAGGTGCGCCACCTATTTTTTTTTTCAATCCACAAAATTTGCAAATTGTATATTCTTTTTAATTTTTATGAAAATTAAAGCTATTTTAAATTGTTTTTGAAACCCGAGAGTCAGATTAAATAAAAATAAAAATAAATTCATAAATTTTATTATGTAGGCATGTTCCGAAAATAAATTTAATTTATGATGATTGTCTGACTAATTAAATGTATAAAATTAAATGATATGAGTAATTTTTGAAAATGAATATATCACATAAATATTTTCGACATTTTTAAAATATGTTATATTGCATACATATAGGGACCAATTTAATTTTATTATGAATAAAATTTGTTAAAATTTTAATAAAATAAACGACAAATTTATACTTCCAATTATTAAAAGAAAAGCTACTGCCTGTTGATTTATTAATTGTTTTATTTATTTTTATAATTAAAGAATATAAAAATTATGTTGAATAAGATACAAAATCTCCATAAATTTCTATAGCGGAATAATATCTAAAGAATATTTCTTAGAGCTCACAAAATTCTTTATTTCGGATAAAATAAGTTAAAAAGTTTTTCAAACACTATTAAAAATATTATTGTACAAGACCAAAAATTAACAGGTTTTTGCTCAACTGTAAGAAACTAAAAAACTCGGAACAGTTCCGTGAAAATAAATACAATTTTTCCGAAAGACTGACTTTTTATTTATTCCTGAATTAACTTTCAAATCTCTTTATTATTGAATTGACTATGCCAAACTCAATAATTTAATGGTTTAAATGTCATGTTAATCATGTTCTATGGCAAGAATTTCTGAAATACATGGTTATTCGAAATTGTCCTGTTATTCATCTTTTTATGATTTTTTCAAATTTAGGTTTATATACTTTTCAAAATTTATATAGACATTTATATTATGAGGGAAATATCAAAAATGTTAATAAACTTTAATAAGTTACGTGTGAAAATTTTATGTATCTATACTCTACACCTACACATGCATACTAAACAACCAAATTTATATTAGATAATTATTTTTTTTCGTATACTTTAAAATTATTTTAAAAATTTTCTTTAAAGCAGCGGCATCAAATTACTCACTTTAGATCACTACTCCCATTAATTCAATCAAATATACTCTAATCGGAATTCACTATATTTAAATAACGCAAGTTGTATATCTTTTTGATCTTTAAAATTTTGAAGTGAGGTAGTACATTACAATTATCCACACTTTTTAGAGTTACAAAAAACAAAAAAAAAAACAATAAAAAATTGTAAAGTTAAATAATAGTTATGACTTACTTTGAATACGAAAAGTTTTTTAACTACTTTTCTTTTGTTTTGTTCTTTTTTTCACTATTTTTTTCACGGTAATTAAAAATAAAAAACTTCAAGCTAACACAAATGTGTCTTTTATTACCTTTTTGTGTTTTTATTTTCTAATGTTTTTTTTTTTCGCTTAAACTCGCGGGTTTTTTTTTAATTTTTTTCAAGTTTTCCGTTCCGTTTATATTTTTAGGTTTTCCTCTTGTAATTTTTTTTTTCTTAACCATTCAGTAAATTTTATTAAATTTGAATGGTTAATGATGGTAAAGTTGCGGCTTATAACAGAGTTGATTTCATGTGGTTGCAAATTTTTTTTTTTTGTTTTCTTCTCTCTATTATATAGGTACAATATTTTTTTGCTTTTTGCTGTTTGTAAAACAAATTGAAGCAAATAATTTTCCAATTTTTTTTTCTGTTTTTTGTTATGAACTACAAATATTAAGTAACTTACATATAGTATACACGTATAAGTAACTGACAACGAAGTATAAGGTATGCTTGTAAAATGAAAGTGAATTGGTGGTTTTGTTTTTGTTAAAATTACTATTGAAAAATTATTGAAGAAATATTTTCAAAAAATGAAAAATTAAGTATTGAAAAATAATTTTTTTTTTTTGTAAAATTGGCAAAGAAAATTGGAGATAATTTTAATTTGATTTAGCGAATTTTTTTTTTTATATAAACACTTAATATAATAACTAATTTATAATATTCATAAGTTCAGGTAAAAATAATCAAGAAAAGTGGAATAAATTAAAATGGGAAATCACCTGCTTAATTTGAACTCATTTTTCATATTACTTCTCTATAATATATTGAGGTGGTAGACATACCTAGTATATATATTCAATGATAATTATAGATAATTTTTCAAGTTAATTTTTGGGCATAAATCCAAGTAGAAAGTTTGTATTGAAAATTTTTTTTTACGCTCTGGAATGTTATTTTGGAAATTAATGTTAAATATTTTGATTTTGATTTTTTGTGTGTGTTTATCTTTCTCCTATTATTTAAATTAGAGAGGTCGTTTGGCACAATTTCATCAATTTTTCTTTTAGATACCTGTTACCTGCTTTTCTTTTGTTTTTGTTTTATTATCTCGCTTTTATTTTTTTAATTTAAAAATTATTGTTATAAGAGTTAGATGTTTCCTTCTTTTAACTATTCATCATAAAATATTATAAATTATATATTTTGATTCATTATACTAATATATTTAAAAATTATTATACAATTTATAATAATAACAATTTATTGTAATAATAAATAAAGTTATGAATATTGTTGTAAAACAAGGAATATTTTTTATATAAAAATTTAAAAACTTATATAAGGTGTACAGTTTAGTCCAACATAACAGTATACAGGGTGAACTTGTAACGTGACAAAATCTTTCAGAAATAGAAAGGTGGGATACTTTTATGGAAAAAATCGCTGCTTGGGGGAGGAAAGCCACAAATGAATATTTAACCCCCAATTTTTTATGTTTAATGAAAATTTTTAGTTTCAACAAAATGATGCATCTACTTAAATAGCTTTAACTTTCACAATTATTAACCGATCTAAAAAAAAAATAATACACAATGGAAAGCTCTTAAAAAAATCTTTATTTCAAAAAAAGGCAGTGCGTCACTTAAGGCACTCCTTAAAAAGTTATTGAGGAAATAAACCAAAAAAAAAAAAGAAAAAACAAATTTCAAAATTTTCGCAAAGGGACCAATTACTAAAAAATTTAACCTATTTTTTTCATAATTTGAAAAATTTTGAGTTAGGCTTCAAATTACCGCTTTCTTACTAAAATTAGACGATTTAGAACATTCTAATACTTAATGTGAGAAAATTACATAATTGAAACTCATATTGTCTTATTGTTGGAATATGCCCTGTAAATAAATTTATGCATATTCATGTATAAATTCATTTACATATGTACTTACGTAAACTAAAATGATAAAAACCAAAAACAAAAATCCAAAATGCATCTTAAATTACAGTATTTGCAGTAAATTTGAGAAATTGGAAAATAAAAAATGCATAAAAAATGTGATAATAAAAATAAAAAAATCTCTCAATAAGTTTCATATTGCACATTCTCGATATATATATGTATGTATGTGTATCGTAATCATCCAACCATAACCAACGAATCAATCGAATTTCAAAAACAAAGACAAGAATGCAAA